TAAGTATATTAATAGCATAGTGACCTAGCACCTCTAGGCTATTAGTATACTAGGTGGCTCTAAATAGGGCCTGTAGCTCTAGGAGCTTTAGTATATCTATATAGCCTGCATCACTCTAATTATACTATATGCTGCCTCTGTATAGTATATACTACTAGTCCAGGGCTAGAAGCACCTCTATAGCTAGCAGGTAAAGGTGTTAAACTAAATCTAGTATTAGGCTAGGAAGCTAATTATAGAGGCTTTCTAAATAGTTAGCAGGGCTATATTTAATACTAAACTATACCTTACCCTAATGCTACTACTCCTCTGATAGTACTATATCTAAACCCTTATCTGAATTACTACTACTCCAGCCTATTAAATATATATTCTTAATTACTATTAATACTACTAGAACCCACTATTACACTCACTGCTAGAAGCTGCAGAGGAGGAAGTTAAATTAGTAACTAGTGTTAACCCTAGGGAGTTAGAGACTTGCTTACTATAGGCAGTACCTCCATGGTGGGAGCTACTAGAGGTAGTGATTAAGGAGATAAAGGAGTAGTTAATAATCTACTATAATATTTACTATATTGCCTACCCTAAGGCTATTTAGGTCTATACTAATGGTTCTAGCATCCATGGGCAGGTTAGCACTACTATAATGTGTCTAGACCCCCCTATCTACTAATAATACTACCTGGGAATAGATATTAAACATATAGTACTAGTTACAAAGGTTATAGGGTTAGTGCTGGCCCTGCAGCTTCTTAAGCAAGATCTGGTACTATATAATACCTAGTAGTCACTGCCTGACTATGGCTCTTGGAAGCAGGCTAAGATTTATTCTAATAATTAGGGCATACTATGCACCTTGCTCACCTTAAAGCAGGGCTCCAGCTAGTATCTGGTTTAGAAGATAGTGAACCTGCTGGATTAGTTAGATCTAGTGTTAGATATCTTATTTCATTAGCTGGTGGTGCACCATAGGGTCACTAGTAATGAGCTTGTAGACTACAAGGTAAAGGAGGTGTCTAGCTAGCAGCTAGGTGATAGAAGGGGGGGCCTGGTGCTAGTTATGATGCTAGATCATCCTATGCAGGGCCCCCTAGACACCTAGATTAAGTAATATACTAAGGAGTAATAGGAGGAGGCCTGGTAGTAGTCTAAGTATAGTAGATACCTCTAAGATCTCCTCCTAGATATTACTAAATAGTTTATTACCCTGTATGATGATCTTACCCTAGTGAAGTAAAGCATGGTGGTATAGATATATACTAGGAAGATTAGGCTAAATCACTATCTCTTAACTATTAACCAGGCTAATAACCCTCTCTGCCTGTATGGTAGGGCCCTAGAGATAACCTACCATGTGCTATTTAGCTACACCTAATATAATAACCTTCAGCGCACAGTATAGATAGAAGGGACCCCCTAAAACCTTACAGAGGCCTTGATAGAGAAATAGTATATTTAGTAGACTATATGGCTCATGCTAAGCACTAGCCAGCTAACATATCTAGCTGAAGCTACTAAGCTAGCATAGCTTAAGCTAAGCACCCCCAGCAGCACCTGGCTTCTGATAGCCCTAGCTAATAATAACTAATAAACTGTATTCATATACTATTATATACTACTAGTCACTCCTATCAGTGCAGTGCTGCCACCTGTGGCTCTAGCCTGTGTATCTATATAGCACTAGCTTACTAATCTAGTACTATTTAGTGATAGCGCCCCTAAAACCCTCACAGGCTTGGGAATCTATGGCTTTCTGAATGAGTTAGTAACTATCTTAGGGGAAGTAGGCCTGTACAGGCACCTAGGCAGGCATAAGGGCATACATAGGGAAGCAAGGTAGCTAGTGATTTTAGCCCTAGCTAAGATGGAATAATAGGGTATTAAGGTAGCAGCACTCACTGATTTTAGCCCTAGCCAGAATAGATAGATCTATAAGGGAGTCAGGGTAGCAGCACTCACTGATTTTAGCTAGGGCTGGAATAGAGGCATCCATGAGGGAATCTACAGGGGTTTAGCCTAGCCTAGGTGCCTAAGATATATATATATATTTATATGCTGATGGTGCCAGTCCGCAAGGACAGCCGCTGGTTAGATAGTCATCACTTACTAGGAGCCTCTGACATGGCCCAGCCCGGTGCCGAAACAGAGTAAGGAATCAATCAATCAATCAATCAATCATATCTCCTCTATATACTTCCTATACTCTTTTAACTAGGTAGCATGTGTGTCCCTATAGTTAATATACTTTTATAACTCCTAGTTAGCAGTGGCCTGCTGATGTGGGTAGTTATAGATCTTATAACTACCTATATAGAGGCTATAGATTATTTTATTAGAATAGATACTTCCTATATAGCTATATTATTAATAGTTAAAGCACTAGTAGATATGAGTAGACTAGTTATATAAGACTATAGTTAAGGTAGTGGAATCCTAGATAGTTTCCCTATTAAGAGCTTTATTAGTAGTCTAGGGGGTAGAAAACTTAATTATTAAGATAGAGGACTTCTTATTAGTAGGTTAATTAGTAAGCTAGATAATATAGATAATCTTTACTAAATTACCTTAGGTAAAGTAATTCTTAGTTAGTAGCTAGTTAGTTACTTATTTAGCCTCCTTAGGGTCTGCTAGGTTACTAATTAATTTAACCTAGATATTATAGATTACTATACCCTAAGTTAGTAAGTAGATAATAGCTACCTAATAGAATAACTTAGCCTATCTAGGGTAGTAATATATAATCTCTACCTACTAGATAGTCTATAAGCTAAGGCTTAAGTTACCTAACTTAAGCTAGTAGGTGGCTATAAACTTAATAAATATAAATATAGCTACTATAGCTTTCTTTAAGGTCTTTATATAGGCCTTCTTAGCCCTATTCTTTATCTCTATAGCTTTTAGATAGTGAAAGGTGCTTACTATACTAGTATCTAGTAGTTTAATAATAACCTTATAGTCCTTACTTAACTCTAAGGGGGTGGCCCCAGGGCTGCTTAAGGAACTATAGGAGGAGACTATATAGTTAGGGGGTAGGGCCCCTACTATAGTAGCTATGTAAGATTAAACCTTAGTAGATAGAGGGATAGATTAAGTAGTTAAAATATATTAAGTAGTAGTAGTGTTCTTTTTAATATTAAGAGTAATCTTATAAAGGTTAATAACTACCTTTCTCTAGTTATTACCTAGGGGGTTTTTCAGGACCTCCTTAATAATAGAATAAGTATTAGTAATTAAATTAATAAGAGGCTTTAGGATTTCTTAATTATAAATCTTTAGATAATTTAAATAGATGCTTATATCATGATGAAGGTCTAAGATATAATTATGTAGAGTTTTCTATAGTCTATTTTTACTACCTTAGGAGGCTGTCAGGGGCGGCCACCCAGGCTTTAATAATAACATAGTAATTAAGATCCTATAAGATTAGGACTAATTAATAGCAGTTATTATCATGAGAAATTAGGTGAAATTTTGGGTTGAAAGAGGCTGGTTTAGGCGAGAAATTTCAAAAATTAGTTCTGTGTTGAAGTTGTTGTTTTTTTTCTGTTTAATCAGTCATATCCAGACAGTAATGCCTGTCAATGCTACTGCTACTGATGTTACATCAGGGCCCTTGATCCGGACTTAGTTTATAGGGAAACCAGGTAGATTGCCCCCAACTCCTTTAAGCGATATTGCTAATTCCAGCTAAGCTGTCGTTCAGTTGACTCGTGCTGGCAGCAAGTTCCGATACAGCGTGGCAACTTGAACCATCAGTCTCTGCCTCGCTGTCTGGCGGTGTAGAATTTTTCCCAGCAAGTATGAATGTCTTCATTCTTTGTCGTAACATGATGATAGGGCCCTCCGAATATGAGGTCCATCCAGGGCGCACCATGTCGGTCGAGTATGCGAATGTTGAACCATGTTGGTGAGGCATTTACTGGAGTACCTAGGTCGGATAATACCAAATAAAGCAGTTGAAGAAGCTCCGTAGTTTGAGAATCATTCTTGAAGCATTACAGAATGAACGTTCCAGTCTCGCCTCGGAATACTGCTACAGTAAATCTTCCGGAAATCGCTTACTCCAGCTCGGCACAATCCTTCCTCTTTGCCTGCAAATAGGCCTCCTGACTCTGCTTCACCAGCCTCCGCCTCTCCGCAGCCTCCTCCTCACTCGGTTTTGTCGGCAGGATTCCCGGCGCCGGATGGAATAGCTCTTCTTGGCTTGTAACCTTTGTGCCGTCCACATCACGAAAGTCCTTTTTTTGGATTACCCCGGGATGGAAAAGAGCAAGAGCATTCTGGATCTGTTCCGGGTTGAGCCCGCGCGCGTCGAGGACCTCGTAGTCGGCTGAGAGGGTACGCAGGACACCGTCCTTGCCGAGGTGGGTGATTCCCTTGCCGGACGGATCGCGCTTCATGTCTTTGACGAAGTCGGGGAGGATCTGGATCAGTTAGCTTGTGTACTGGATATGTGCCTGCCGTGATAGAGCTGGTGCATGTCACAGACTGTTGCTTACCCTGCAGCCCATGTTGAGTTCAGTATAGTATCAGTATCGTAGGTTTGGTGACTGCTGTATCTCACGAACATCAATGTCTTTAATATAATTCTCAATGACCCTCGCCAAGCGAGAGGGCGAGGCTGTTGCCTGCTTTGTGAGGCTAGTAATTGGGTTGGGTGGCGACTTCAGCCTGAACGGGTTCACCAAGAGTAACCAACTAGTTATCATAGGTAGTAAGCACTAGTCTGCCTGTAATAGCACTATTCCCAGGATCAAGCACAGCCTTGTGGGTCAACTGGCCCACAGCCCTGTTATCTGTGGGTGCACTGTGGCTCTGACTAGCCCAGCGTTAGCCCCGGCGTCATGCAGTTGGCCTGGGCCCATTCCCGTTGATGCAAATGCGGTAGTGTGATCTATGACTAACTGACTGGGATGACATGACTGTTGATTCAGAAATATTGAGAGAGTCATACGCACATAGACCACTTGAAGCAGAAGTCAATGAAAGGACAAAACCTACAAAAACGCAAACATCTTAATCTCAATGCTCTGGCGAGGCTCATTATCCGTCACGGAAGGGAGCTCAAAAGCGCTATGCGCCAGGGTACACCCTCCCTCCTCCCACCTGCTGCTATCAAACTGCTTGAACACCAACGGCTCATCACGCCGCTGGTTGCTGAGATAGTACCACCGGTGATTGTTGTTGTATTGCACCTTGCTCAGCTCGTTCCAGCCCTGCGGAAAGACCAGTCGATAGGGCACGATATCCTGCGGACTGGTAGACTGCCAGTCACAGACAGCGAGGGGATCCCGATGCACAGTCTTCAGCGGCCGCCAGACGTTGATGGCCATGACTCGACCCTTTAACAGCTGCTTCAGGCGCTCTGGGTCGGAGACCTCCCTTTCGAGATGCCCAAGCGCACCTGCGACGGTAAAGTCCGTGTGCACGTCGTGCGCTGGGGCGCGGTTGTCGGCTAGTTTTGCTGCGTCGGAAGCGAAGCAGCGGATGCGGTGCACAAAGGTGATTGTTTCTTTGGCGCCGGTTCTGTTCCGGTCGGGTTAGAGAGCGAAATTGTTCTGGTAAAAGAGTACGTACATTTTACGGACAAGCTCCTCCGCCTTGGGGATAAGGGTGTCGGTGACCTTTTGCTCGTCGGTCCAGTCGTCGAGCTCCGGGACTTCGTCGTGGAAGTACTGGAATCCGTGCTTTTCAAGCGTGTACTGGTCCTCGGATCCGCGGATGTCGTGGATGAGGACGGGATGCTTCGCTTGTTGCTTTTCTGTCTCTGAGAGTTTCTGATTTCCCTCAGGTGTGGTGAAATCGATGGTGATCGGGTCGTTGCTCCCTCCCCAGTAGTTGAGCCCTGCCTGTATGTCTTGCTTTTCAGGGGGAGGATTGGTAGTTGTAGTGGTTGCGGTCATTGTGTACAGCGGTGAGAATGGAATGGGATGATGAGTGAATAGATGTATAGATTCCTTCGAGTCGGCATACAGACAGGTCTTAAACAACGTTCTAACGGCATATTTATACATCTTGACTATAGCATGACTCGAACTCATAAAGCAAAAGGTTGATCAACAGCGGACCCGAACCCGAATCCGAACCCGAGTGCCGATCGTGAGTCGTGACTATTACGCGATCGGGAAATGGCTCCCGATGTATTGACTAAAATCCAAGCTTGAACCCACCCCAGTTCAGCCTTGAAAAGGTTCCGAGAGGGTCATAGGCAGCCCGGACTGCCTTCATCCGCTGCACATTGGCTTCAGGAAACCCAGCAAACGGGTCCTGCCACTCGCCCGCATCGCCCATGTAGACAAACTCGGAGCTAATTCCTTTCTTCTTGTTAATGGCGTGCAGAGACTCGGCGAGTCGGCGCGACCAGGTTTGCACGCGGATGTCGTCGGATGCGAGATCCCAGCCTGTGCTGAACTGCCACACTGCAGCATACATTAGTCATTGCCATAGCAAGGAAACAAGAGCCGTACATATCATGGGCTGTTCGTCCAGGCCCCACACATTTCCGATTCCATTAGTCTTGGCTACTCGCGCTGCGCCTGCTGGAGAGAGGTTCATGATAAAGGTCGGGTAGAGGCCTTGCACGTCGGATATCTCATCGACCGCTCTCTTCCACGCTTGATAAATGGAGTAGAGGGTGTCGGGGAGGGGCTGCACGGTGTGGTGAGAGAACATCACACTATCATCGTCAGCATTAACATCAAGATCCAAACGGGAATGCTTCCTACCGGAACATCTGGTTCGGGGTGATGAGTCCCGAAGCAAACTGTTTCCCAGTCGTCACATTGTGTATCTTTGTCTGGCCAGGGATGGCAGTGAAATTGGCGAATTGAGAGGGAGGCCTGCTAACACCTTCCTGCACTCCGATCAGCAAAGCAGTAGACACCTTTGTCGTCGCATTGTAATTGATCGTGAAGACGCCGCCTGCCGCGATGGGATTCGGCTCGTCGAGCTTGACCAGATCACACAGCGCGGTGATATAATCACAGATGCCGGACTCGTTGTAGCTCTGGATTGTGGTACTGATCTTCGGAATTGCAAACGTCTTCAGCGTAAACTTGGTCACGATCCCAAAGTTATTCGCGCCGCCTTTCAACGCCCAGAATAGATCCGGGTGCGAGGTCGCCGATGCAACGACCTGCGTCCCGTTCCCCAGCACCACCTCGTACCGGACGACGTTGTCCATGGCGAATCCATACTTGTTGATGAAGTAATGCACGCCACCGATAAGTGTGAGGCCAGGTACGCCGATGGTCTTGAGACGGCCGCCGATAGCGATGCGTCCGTAGGGGTCGAGGGCAGAGTAGACGTCGTACCAGGTCATGCCTGGTCCGACGTCAATGGTCTCTTTGTGGACGGTGAATTGGTCCATTCCGGACAATGCAATGAGGACGCCGTTGTCGATATTGTTGGATCCGGGGAACTATCCATGTCAGTTGGTCATTATTCGGTTCAGATAGGGATCGTAGTACATTCATGTGTCCACCGCCGCGGACGGCAAAGTGCGCATCACAGTGGGTGAGGATCTTCACGGCGGTCGCAACTTCCTTAGCGGAAGTTGGGAGGAAGATACAGGATGGGTGAAGGTTATCGCGGATATCCCAGTAGCTGGTAGCCTCAACTGTATAGTTTGCAGATGTCGGAAAGAGGAGCTTGTCCGGGTAGGAGGACCCAATCTGTGCACAGGCACATTGAGTTCCTGCCACGGATACATTCCAATTAGCCGCCACCAGGCCAGCCAGAGAAAGAGTGAGGAGATGTAGAGAAGTCATTTTGATAGAACTTCGCTAGGTGCTTGTGTTGATGTTGATCAAGCTCCAGAAAACCAACGCCTTTTATAGGGACAGTAGCACCCCTGAGAGCCGTTGGTTGATGGCAAGGCTGTGCCCTGCGCTTCGTCTAGAGGCTAGATGAATAAACATCATCTCGGGTCCGGGTTCGGGTTCGTATTGTCTCGCAAAACGATCTTCAGTTGGAGGATCTGCCCTAATTTCGACGGACCTGGCCACAGAACTTAAAATAACTTTGTCCGCAGCCTTATTGCTCCGATAGGAGTCTCAGGCTGCAGTATTACCGTGGATTCATCGCCGATAGGAGCCGCTCTGCCTGAGATCGGATCGGAAAGCAGGACACCCGCTTCTCTCGTTGAATATCTTCATGCGATTGACCGGTCCGAGAATAAGGTTGCCTAGAGATTGATACCTGCGAACCTATCGGAATTGAACGGTAAAATGTGGCTATGAATTGAGTTTTGATACTCCAAAGTAGCAGGGCTGAAGCATTTCTATGTTGGGAATGCCATCGTACCCGAGTACGAACGCGAGATCAAATCGCTCGCTGTATACTGCACATAACTGATATGAAATTTCTATATAAACACCTCGAAGCTCAATGCAATGTTCTTCATCATCACAGCACAACCTCAGATCTCATCCTTGCCAAACAGACAACATGTCATCCAACAACGGATTCGTCCTCTACCACTATGAGCCCTCTCTGGCAGCAGCAATTGCCTTTTCGGTCTTGTTCAACATCACAACGCTGGCGCATGCATACCAGCGCATCAAGTCAGGGTCAAAATATATGAACCCATTCATCGTGGGTGGCTTCTGTAAGTCCTCCAGCAGTTCAATCCCAACACCAGCTGATCATCGACAGTCCAAGTCATCGGCTACGGATGCCGCGCAGCATCGCACTTCTTTAAGAATTCCACTACGCTCTACGCCATCCAGACTCTTCTGGTCCTTCTGGCACCGACGCTCTACGCAGCTTCGATCTACATGATCCTCAGCCGGACGATCCAGTTCCTCCACGCTGAGCGACTGAGTCCAGTGCCTACGAGATGGATGACCAAGGTTTTCGTTGCGGGCGATATCCTCTCTTTTATCTTGCAGGGAGCTGGTTAGTACCATCTTACCCTTTGCTAGATATTCTTTGCTGACAGCACAGGCGGCGGAGTCATGTCCGCCGGCTCGGCGAACTCCCAAGACATCGGCACGTACATCATCGTCGCCGGTCTTGGCGTTCAGCTCCTCTTCTTCGGTGTTTTTGTCCTGGCCGCTTGGATCTTCCACTTTCGATTCTCCGGTTCTCAGGAGGCGAAAACCTCTGGGAACGTGCCTTGGATGAGGAGCTGGAATGGTCTGCTCTGGGTGCTGTATCTGGTCAGCGGACTTATTCTCATCCGGAGTGCGTTTCGGATGGTGGAGTTCGCGCAGGGATTTGACGGCTATCTGATCCGGCATGAGATCTTCATGTATGTCCTCGACACGGCGCTGATGTTTGTTTTGATGGTTGTGATGAATGTGGTTCATCCTTCGGGTGTTTTGGGCAGGGTGAAAGGGGAGCTGGTGGAATGTGAGACCCTGTCGGCTTAGTGGAGATGCAGAGAGGGGAGCTTGGATGATTGGATTGTGTTTTTGATATAGTTCTGCTTTGTGATGGTGTTATATGTGATATTGGGTTGGTATTGCAGAGATAGTGTCACATTAAATATACGGAGTTTTCATCTTTATTAAGGCTCAACGTGAATCAGTCGGAAGAAACCAAGCTCTACAATGCTGGGACTCAAGCAGGCGATGAGTGATGATCAAGGCCGCCAGCCCAGTTGCTCCATCGGCCACTGGATCCAAGTGCGGTGCTCCTTGTCCAGCAACCCATGGATCCGAGAAAGTAAATGCACACTCCACCCCTCCAGCCACCACATCCACTCCAGCCGCCGGAGCAAGGGACAGAAGTACCCAAATATCACCAACGCCACATACCGCTGCTCCCGAAGGAACATCAAAAACTCCTCCGACACCAGCAGCAGCCAGACGAAGACATCCCCCGTCTCCCAGACCCCGGTATCCGACCAGAGCGCATACGAAACCCTCATTTCCTGTATTGCTCCCAGGTAAATCTGTAATTCCTGCTGGTCTTTGACCTCCTCCCGGACCAACTCCTCCAAATCGTTCATGAAGGGTTGCCCCTGGGTAGAGAGGGTGCTGCGGTAGTCCGATCGGCGCTGTCGAATATTCAGCAACGCCGCCAATGGCCCCGATCGGAGTTCCTCCTGCGCATATTCGACTATTGTCCCCGTTCCGCGGAAGAGGAGCAGCCACTCGGAGATTCTCCCTTGCTGGAAGAGAAGCAGGTCCTCGAGTTTGCGGGGCTTGGCGCAGGAGAAGAAGCTAGTAAGGATGGAGAACAGGAAGACCGCTGAGCTGTTCTCGTTTATGAGCTGCGTCATGTTTGAGGTCACAAACTTCAAGGCCACACTGTGATGGGCTTCTGCCTGAGACACGTAGAGTTGCCGTTGCGCTGGTCTGAGGTAGGCCATGTGGAGGGCTGATATGGCTAGCATCGCACGCAGCGTGTAGTGGGCGGCAAATCCGATCTGCGGTGCATCAATTCGCCAGAAGGTTTGTATCGCTGCATGTTGAGAGAATGTGTAGGCCGTCGAGGTAGAGAAATGATGCAGGAGCTCCAGATCGTGCACTGCGAGGTCTGAAGGTCCGCAGCTGCTCAGGTTGGAGGCCTGCGGGGATGTTTCTTGACCTTGTGCAAGAGGACTTCCTCCGCTTGGGAGAGAATATGTGCAGTCTACTGCGTGTTTGCTGCAATTTCTACAGGTCGGCTTGACTTCATCACACTGTATGCCGAATTAGTTGGGTACGATGAAGTTGTTGAAGTTATAATACTTTGATCTTCCTGGCCTTGCATTGCTGGCAGCCATGCCGCGATTTGCGGTGTGTCCGACGCCCTCTCATGGACATTGTACTGGTCATGGTGCTAATACTCTCCTGTTATAATGTAGATGAAAATCAACTGGACAAGGGATAGAGTTCAGCTGAAGGAATGGATGGAATCACGAGGCTGAATGTCCCTGCGCGAGAGCGGTGGCAAGCAGCAGTATCCAGGCACGTGATCAGTGAACCCTAACCCCAATCCAATCCCTGTCGTTGTCTCAGCAGAAGATAATTGGATAGGATAAAATTGGTCTTTAAGGAATTCATATTAGAGCTCAGTCTGTCTGTTTTGATAATAATATTCGACGTTTGAATACGATCTGGCATTCGAATCGTTGGACAATGTGGAACGGAGAGGATATATATCCTGGAGTACCTCTCATATAAATATTCCGGTTAGTCTATCAATATCTAACTAGCTTGATATTAAGGATGAATAAAGAGGAGTCATGCACCCCAGCCAAGTGCTGTAAACGGAACTCTTTTATGACTGAGTAGTGTAAAGTCTTTGAGAGCAATGGATCATATGCCAGTGTTTCAAACTTCCACCACCATCCACTAGCCATCCCCAGACTAATACTTCCCCCTCTCTCCATCCCTCCACTTCAACATCCTCAACCAGATAAAAGCCGCTGCTCCCGCCGTGACCATGACCGCGCTGAACAGCTCCGCCTTCCAAAACACCCCCCGCTCCAAATCCAACAGCGCCCCAGCAATCGGATTGCCAATCAACAGCCCCAACCCGGCAAACGTAAAGCACATGCCCATCCGTGTCCCAACAATACTCATATTCGGGCTCAACCGGGCCACAACAGTCGGCGGTAACGAGACAATCGCCCCAGAGGCAAACCCATACAGACATGCAAACACGATCGTCCCCGCAATGTTCTTGATTCCCATCCAGGCGTACGCGAGAATCGCCGCGCTCAGACCCATGGGGATGATGGTGTTGAGGGAGCCGAACCGGTCTGCCACCAGGCCTGGGGTAATACGACCAAAGACGGACGTGGCGTTGAGAATGGCGATTATGTAGAAGGCTAGGTCGTCGGTTGAGTGGAGGATAGAGGACATGTAGGAGGGAAGGTAGAAGAATGGGAAGTAGAGGCCGACGAAGGCGCAGAACAGACCGAAGCTGAAGATCAGGAAGGGGGCTTCTTTGAAGGCAGAAAGGTCGAGGAGGGATCGGGCTTGCTTGGGAGGGGGCAGTCGCATGCGCATCACGGCAAGGGAGATGCACAGTCCGCCTAGAGCGATGAAGCCGATGATACGGGTGGTCCAGCCGAAGCCGACGGAGTCGATGAGGTTGCGGAAGATGATGGGGTATATCACGGAGCCTACATTGGTCAGTATGTTTACGTTTAGTGCAAGCGGAGAACGAGACGTACCAATGCTTCCCCCCGACGCGGTGATGCCCGTCGCCACGGCCCGCCGCGTGGTAAAGTAAGTAGCCACGATGGCGATGCTAGGCAGGAACAGGAACGCACAGCCGATTCCGACAGCGACTCCATGAGCCAGAAAGACTTGGTAGTACTGGCTTGACAGGGAAGTCATCATCAGACCGAAAACGACCAGAAATGAGCCCACGGCTATCATGCTCTTGAGGTACCCCTTGTCGAAGACTGGACCGGCAACGACTCCAACCAGGAACAGGAGGAAGCCCTGGACGGTGCCGATCCAGGAGATGGACGAGGGCGAGTGACCATGCAAGAGATCCGTTTCATAGTAGGTCTGGTACACGCCAAAGGTGTTGACCACGCCCCTGGATATCGGTTAGTGAGCACAAATATCAACAAAGTATAGCTTCGTGGCTTACCATGAGTTGAAGAAGAGGAAAAAGGCTCCGGCAACCTGGAGCCATGCTATCCACCCTCCATTTGGAGGTGGAGGGGGAGTCTGCGTCTCCTGCGCTTTCTCTACTTGGGTCTCCTCAACAGGCAGCGTGGAGGGAGGAGACGACCCTTCACTGCTATTATCCGGAGTAGCAGGAGCAGTAGCAGTAGCAGTCATGATGAAAGTAGAGACTGATCGCCGACTGAGTTGAGAGGATAGCCGTCAGCCTAATGTTGGATAGACTCATTTCCCCTCAAATAGACAGGAACCAGCCCTCTATATGGCTTTGACAACAAGCATACACGGCGAACAGATGTGATACCACCACACAACCTGATTAATAATGCAACGGCGTGATCTGCGGGTTAGCCGACACTACACCTAAATGGTGCAATAATAGTTCTTTATTAGTATGATTCCATGATTCTATCCATTTCCATGCAGGGATGCGGCGCGCATCTGCTTCCCGCCAGCACGCCAGATTGGCCGATCTTCCTGTCTGGGCGTGGCCTTAACTCGTATTGGCCCTATCCGATCAGCCATGAATAATCATGATGAAACGCAGGATTCACCCGTCAGCGGTCAGCGCCATCCCGAGCTGGCGTCCAGTGATAAAGGTCCTGCGAAATCCTTCGCATCCTTCCCTTCAATCATTCTGTCTCGTGGCTGCACACCTCCTCTTGGCCCCTCAGCCACGCTGTAATACACCCCAGAACGGGGAGCTAGACCGCTACAGAGTCCTTCAAGCATCTTCAGAAAATGAGCTAATGGGCGTTTCTATTACTCTACGGAGTACGTTTGACATCATTTTCATCCAGGAAATGATAATATTGCAGATCTTCATCACAGCGTGCATTGATCTAACTCTAACGAGTAAGCGACTGCTCAGGTGTGGCAACTGACTACTGTTCAAACACCAAAATCTTCTTGCGCTCGCCTACTTGGCCCCTCTCATGGCGCTCCAGCACCTCCTGCAACTTGCGTTCGAGACCCTGTTCACCTCGCCTCCACCGCACATACTCCACGGCTGGGGCCTTTAGCGTCCCCTCCATGAATAACCGCGCAAACCATTCCAATAGGGCCGTCTGATGGAACGGCGATCGTCGGCCAAGACAATCGCTGAGCCGAAATGCCTTGAGAGTGACGTTGCGTTGCCACAGGAACTGCCGCAGGTTACCTTCGGGGCCGGATGGCGCTACCCCCAGGAAGCCAGCCGTGACGAGTGTGGCTCCGGGGGCCAAAAACGACGCCATCAGCCGCGCCAGTGCGTCATCAGACACAAAGTCGATAGCGAGGCTGACACGCTTGCCCGCGAGCAGCTCCGCGCCGGAGACCTTGAGCTCGTCAACGGTCAGGACAAGCGATGCGCCGTGCGAGCGCAGCGAGCGTTTGGTGCGCTCGAGTTCCTCATCGGTACCGCGGTCGCGAATCACGCTGATGACATTGACACCCTGCAGGTGCGCCAATTGACTCACGTAATGGCTCACCGTGCCTGTCGCCGCGTTCTGGATGATCCAGTCGCCGGGCTCGAGGGCGGAATAGTCCCGCAGCAGAAAGTAGGCCGGTGCCACCCCCATGCGTAGGATACACGCGAGCCGGGGATCCAGTTCCGACGGAACCCGCAGCACGTCGTTCTCGTCAAGCACGGCGTGCGTGCGCCAGGACCCGCGGCAGTGGGTCCGCAGGAGCACCGTGTCCCCGACATGGAACTGGGTCACTGCCGATCCCGTCTTGAGGATGCGGGCCGCACCATCTGAGCCCGGAATGGGCCGTTGCTCGCCGTCGGCGGCGCCAACGTGGTTCTGTGGTTTGACGGGATATTTTCCGTGCAACACCAGAAAGTCGAGGGGATTGATGGGTGCCGCAAGGAACTCCACTACCACCTGGTTAGGGCCGCAGTCCGCAGGCGTAGGGATTGAAAGAAGACGGATGTCTTTGACGGGTTCCGCGGAGCCGTACGCAAATACAAGAGATTGAGCCATGATGTAACAGGAGTCAAGGATAGCACTCTAAGTTGGATGTTGATTGGTTGCGAAGGCAATGGTGATGCTTGCAGATGTCCAGCGTTGTATATGGGAGCCATTTATAGCCAGTCGACGGACAAATTCTGCTAGAGCCACCATCGTCAAAGCATAACGTATGGAGATATTCGTAGAATATTTTCGAATCGTCAGCGGCTGTAAGACGAGAATCAGACCCGTCTAGCGTGGCGCCACGTATTCGCCCAGAGAACCAGGCATTTTCCTTTGGCGGAAGGAGATCCCCCCTTAGGGTGAGCTTGTTGCAACCTCGTATTACGCTGACTATTAACAACGGGGAGTGGCCGGTCCCAACTGCACATTGGCGAGAATTCAGCAAACCACTCGCTCAGTGGCGCGTTCGACCCTTGTCTGCAGACAACGCCGATCGAATATGAGGTTGCACAACGAGCCACCACATGCACAGAAGAACATGGCTCGAAGCGTGATTCTTGCTTGTGCATCACCATGATTTCATGACACATGGCTTGATAGATGACTCTACTGACGCAGGGGTTGCGCAATTTCTGCAGGAGCCTTCCAGGTTGATAGGCCATGTGCCACTCAGTCGGTCAGGGATCGAGATCCTGCAGAGGAGCAATGTAACTGTTAGATATCGTGATCGGCATTGCGGTGATTCTCGGAGGCCACCCGAAAGAGGAAAGCGATGCAGATTCATATGAGATTGAGCAGCGCAAATAGAATTATTGGTCTGATCAGATGCCAACTGCAAATTCCTCGTGTTTGACTTCTCCCTGTCTCGCTCCTGGGCAGAGACGGCGAAATCTCTCCTGTCCAAGACTACCACTTGCCATCGAAACGTCTAGTACTCAGCGTGATTGATGGATTGGTTGGGAGTGTACTTTTTTTTCCTTCTCGCCACTGACTGGCAGTTGAGGTGGCGCCTCGTGGCGCCCTTCGTGCTGACAGCCATCCAGATGAGTGAATGGCGAGTAAGAATCGTTCGCGTTGATGGGAAAAGTATGCGGGAAAAAGCATCATCGTAGGCATCCATGTTGTATTCGGCCCCCAAGCTGCTGCTCCTGCCAGAGAGGGGGTTGAATGACGTCCAAATTGAGATTCACATCGAGCCTTCGTCGAACGTAGACATAAATAGCGTCGACTAACTCTCCCAAATCTAATCTAAATCAAGCAAAAACCTCAAGAAGAGGAATTCCCCAGTCTCATCACTCTGGAATCCTGCTTCTCCGCTCATTGAGCTCGCTAAGGGATCAGAATGGCTCCAGTCGCTATTCGAGATCTCGCGGAGAGCCCTGAGCCCCAGGGCAGCGAGGTTATCTCGACGAAGGCTCGCCCATTTTCTCTTCTTAGTCCTCCGTCTCCTCCTTGCCTCGTTACAGATTACATCAGATATCAAGTCGAGTCAAACCCTGATGCTCCAGCTGTTCAATGCGAGCAGGAGATGCTGTACAGCTATGCCGAGCTGTGGCATCTCGTCGAGCACATTGCGGAAGCGGGTCAATTCCGCTCTGGTCGTATCATACCCCTCTGTATGGACCCGTCCGTCGAGTTTGTGGCTACCGTGCTGGCCATCCTCTGGTCCGGATCTGCCTATGTCATTCTCGATCCGGAAGGTTCTGCGGAGCGTAACCGCGTTATTGCGGCGGATTGCGGCACCGAACCTGTCGTCGTCCACGAAAAGTATGCGTCCCTGTTTGATCACTCCATCACTGTCGAGAGCATCCGGTCGAGTCAGACCCATGGACAACTTGACCCTCCTTCAATTACTCCATCCGACCTGGCATACCTGATCTATACCTCTGGCTCAACGGGTACCCCCAAGGGCGTCCTCCTCAGCCATCGTGCTGTCTCTCATGGCATCGACCAATTCCAACCCAACGGCCGCAAGCGATGGCTGCTCTTCTACAACCCCATCTTCTCTGCAGCTCAACGAACCATCCTGGCCACCCTGTCCAAGGGCGCCTGTCTTTGCCTCGCCAGACGAGACCGACTCGCAACTGCTTTGCCCGAGGTGTTGAACAACCTTCAGATCGATGCCCTGGGTATCACTCCCGCAGCCCTCGCCTTGCTGTCTCCCGATGAGACACCCAGTTGCTTGCAACAGATCACCACTGTCGGCGAGCCCCTCAGCCAGTCCCTTGTCAACAAATGGGCAGACAGAGTACACCTGCGCGTCTCATATGGACTCAGCGAATGTGCTCAACTGAACTTCTCCCGCCAACTCCAGCCAGGCGATAACCCTCGCAATCCCGGTCTCCCATCTGACACAACCACCGCCATTGTCCTGGAGCCCGGCACCATCAATCGCCTTTCTGTCAACGAACCCGGGGAGCTCTGTCTGTATGGTCCTCAGGTTGCCAATGGCTACCACAACCGACAGAAGCAAACACAAGCTGCCTTTATCAAGACGCCAGGGGGTGCCCCGGGCACGATGATGTTCCGCACCGGCGATTTGGCCGTCCAGCGTGAGGATGGAACATTTGGAATTCTGGGTCGTATTGATCACCAGGTCAAAATCCACGGTCAGAGGGTGGAGCCTGAGGAGGTGGCTACCAACCTGGCGACGGTGAAGGGCGTAGCCGGCTTGGTTTGTGTGGGATGCTACATCAACGAGCGCATGTCGCTTGTGGCTGCTGTTGTCCCTTCACCCGAGACGGACTGGGGCACGCTCGTGCAGGACTTGCGCAATCATGCTCGCCGGTGTTTCCCGCCGTACATGGTGCCCAGTTATTGGCTGTCGTGCGCCGAGTTCCCCGTCAACCAGAATGGGAAAGTGGATTTCCGGGCCATTCGTCGACTTGCTGAAGGTACTGAGGTTAGCAAGGTGTTGGGCCACAGTACCTCATCGAAAGACGGTGATACGGCTGGCTTGAGCGAGATTGCCTCGAAGATTGCGCAGGTTTGGGCGGAAGTGTTGAATCTGCCCGCGTCCTCTATCACGCCCTCGGATTCCCTGGTGGCACTGGGAGGAACATCCATTGACGCAATCCGCGCGATTCGGGAACTAAAGCAACGCGGTATTCACGTCGAGTTGGCGGATATGCTTCAAGCACAGACCGTCGAGGAAATTGCGGATACGGTCCAACTAGACTCGACTCCAACTCACGTTAGCAATGAGCCAGCCGCGCCTTTCGATTACATCTCTGATCCAGCGCTCAAGGCGGACTCCCTTGCCGACCGTCGTGTTGTCGATGCTTATCCTGTCACCGCACTGCAGGAAGGCATCCTGGCCAGCACGCTCCAAGGCAGCCAGGACTATCTCTACCAACGCGTTTTTGACATTCGCCATCTCGACCTTGTACGACTTCAGCTAGCATTTCAAGTCGTTTTCTGGCGCACGGAACTCCTCAAATCCACCTTCGTCACTGCGGCCAAGGGCTTCGCTCAGGTCGTGCGCAATGACTTCAACCTACCTTGGTCGGAGGTCTCCATGAGTCTCCCTGAATATCTGGAACAGGACAAGAACAGAGGCATCACACTGGGCGAACCATTTATTCGTGTCGCCGTCCTTGACAAAAGCATTCTCGTCGTCTCGGTTCATCATGCCCTCTTCGACTTCTGGTCTCACAGATTCCTTTTCGACGATGTCGCTCGCGTGTATTATGGCCGTCGTCCTGAGAAGCGCCCCGAGTGGAAGTCTTTCGTGGCCCTTCTGCACGCACGAGACTCAAAGCCATCCCAGGACTTCTGGAGAGAGCATCTCGGCGAGGCGGTGCCAACAGTGCTCAATTATGCACCTGTGACAAAAACATCCACAGCCAAGCGCAGTGTCAGCCAGCAGGTCAAGGCCGCATCATCGGCTTTGCGCGCTCCTCTGGGTGCAATTATCCATGCGGCCTGGGCTCTCGTCCTTTCATCGCACATCGCTTCAAAGTCTGTCACAATGGCAACGGCCGTTTCCGGTCGCGAGCTACCTGTTCCAGGGATTGAGGCCCTGAACGGACCCACGCTGGCTGTCGTTCCCTATGCCGTCGCAATTGATCCGGAACAGAACCTTCAGCAGCTGGTGCAGTCAGTCAACGCCAGCCTCTGGAAGGTCATCAAGCACTCCCAGGTTGGAGTGCGGAATGCGCTTGCCGCTGCTGAGCGCCAGGGCGCTACTCTCTTCGACACTATGGTCAATATCCTCGTCAGCGATAAGGCCACCGATGATATTTCCAAGGAGGTGTTCCAGCTCTACGGTCGGCGACCAGTATGGAGAACCGAGTACACGACACTGAACGTTGAGGAGGGCGCTACAGGTATCGACATCACGCTCACATCGCCGATGGAAGAGCGTCGTTTGGAGTTCATCCTCGACCAGTTTTGCATGGCATTGAATTTCATTACATCTAATCCTCGACAGACAGTCAAGGCAACCAATCTGGTCAGCGCGACGGAGCTGGAGTTCATGCTTCAGCCACACAAGAACTTGCCTGATGCTACTCGCACGTTGCATGGACAATTCGAAGCCACGGTCCGCACATACCCCGATCGGACTGCCATCAACTACCAGAACGAGCTGTTCCTTACATACTCTGAGCTGAATACCGAGGCGAACCGCATGGCACACTATCTCTCCGAGCGTGGGGTGGTGCCGGGTGATATCGTCCCTCTTCTCCTAGAGAAGTCGCCATTGATGATTGAGGCCATTCTCGCCTTGTTCAAGCTCGGCGCTGCCTATGTGCCTTTGAGCCCTGAGAACCCCTTGGAAAGAAACGCGTACATTGCTCGCGACGTCAGCGCCAAGTTCGTCCTCACGGAGAAGGAACATGAATCCTACTTTGCCTCGGAAAGTGATATTCCTAGCATTCTCCTGGACCAGGCCAACCTTTCCGCATATGGCCCCGAGCCACAGCAAGGAACTGTCTCTCCGGATGCACTCGCCTATCTGCTCTACACCTCGGGAAGTACTGGTCTTCCAAAGGGTGTCATGGTGACACATGGCGCTTGTGCAGCTGCCATGCAATCGATCATCGAGTTTGAGCACCGCCATGGCCAGGAGTCAAGAATGCTGCAGTTCTCCAACTACGTTTTTGACGCCTCACTGTACGACTTCTTCGTAGCACTGCACAGCGGCGGCACTCTGTGCATTGCACCCTCGGAGCGCCTGTTGAACAACCTGGCCGAGGTTATCAACGAGATGAATGTCAACCATGTTTTCCTCACTCCGACTGTGGCTCGACTGCTGAATCCCAAGGATGTCCCCAACTTGGAGTCCATGACTGTCGGCGGTGAACAGCTGACTCGTGACGTGGTGACAACATGGGCATCGCGTGTGGCACTCCGCAATGGCTATGGACCCACCGAGGTCTCCGTCATGGTGACGATGAAGGATGTCGATGCTGACACGATTGGAGGCAATATTGGCACGCCTCTCGCGTCTGTGGGTGGCATCATTCTGGAAGCAGATGGTGTTCGTCCAGTCCCTTACGGTGCTGTCGGAGAGCTGTGCTTCTTTGGGCCACAGCTTGCGCAAGGGTATTTCAAGAAGCCTGATATCACCAATGCCGCTTTTATCGAGAATGAGGTGCTTAATGGCCAACGCCTATACCGCAGTGGTGACTTAGCCCGTTATCTTCCCAACGGAGGCATTGAGTGTTTGGGCCGTAAAGACGACCAGGTCAAGATCAACGGACATCGTATCGAACTGGGAGAGATAGAACAGGCCTTCTTGCGGACTGGTGAGGTCAAGGACTGTGTGCTGACCGTCTGGAAGCAGAACAGCACTGCGCATCTTGTTGCGGTCGCTGTTTTCGATGGTGCTGCTGCTGAGAAACCGGGCGAGATTCTTTCACTGGAAGGCTTTGCTGAGAACGTGCAGCGTGTCCGAGCCAAGCTCACTGGCCTTACTCCATACATGATTCCAAAGGCAATTGTCCCTCTCTCGTCGCTCCCAAGACTTCCCTCCGGCAAGGCCAACCGCAAGCAGCTCAAGGCTATGGTGCAGTCCCTGAGTCAGGGCGAACTGACCAAGTTCTCATTTGACAAGATCGGCACTGCGCAGTCAAAGGGTGCGGTTATCCCTCTGGTATCTGAGACACAAAAGGTACTGCAACAAGGATGGATCGAAACCCTGCAGCTTAACGACGATCAATTTGGTCTGGAAGCCGACTTCCTCAGCCTCGGTGGCGATTCCATTGCCGCTATCAATCTTGTCAGCTGGCTCAGACGCAAGCAGCTCAAGATCTCCGTGCGAGATGTGCTCAAATACACAGGTCTTGGAGCAATGGCCGACCAGCTGAAGGGCGAGTCGGACGATGCACAGCAGATTCAACAGAAGACTTTCACTCCTCCCTCGGAGGTTGATGCTGCTATCTCTGCCGCTGGTCTGCAGGCGACTGAGTATGAGTACATCTATCCTTGCCCTCCCGGACAGGCCGAGTTCCTGACCCAGGGTGCGCATCCAGAGGCGTTGTGGAGTCTGATGACAGTCCGGAAGGTCGGCAATGACTTTGAACCGAGACAATGGATTGATCTGGTTCGACAGCTGACAACTGCCAATGACATTCTACGCACGACCTTTACTCGCTCTCACGGAAAATGGTATGGTGTTGTTCTCCGCGATGCCACCCCTGTGGTCGAGATCTATGAAGATGTCAGCCATGAGCAGAGACAACAAATTATTAAGACACTTGACGACCACCGTTTTGTATTTGGCCAGCCCTTCATTCGCTACGCCATTCTCCATTTGTCGATGGGCGAGACCGAAATTGTCACCAAGCTCGACCATGGCCTGTACGACGGAACGCTTCTCCGCATCTTTGGCGAGCACTTTGAGGCTTACCAAGACAATGCTCCACTGGAACGCTTCACTCCATTCAAAGACTTTGCATTCCACATCTGGCAGATGGACAAGTCCCGCACGCTGTCGTTCTGGAAGCAATCCGAGAAGCGCCCTATTGCCTTCGAATTCCCCAGCGCAAGCGCCACCGGACCGCGTATCAACTCTGTGCATGTACACACCATCAACCTAGAGTTTGACGCATTCGCCAAGTCCACCGGTGCCACTGTCTCTATCATCTTCCAGTCGATCTTCCAACTCTGGCTGGCACTGCGCAGCAACCAACGCGACGTCGCCTTCGACTACCTCTACACAGGTCGCAACATTGATCTGCCTGACCCTCAAACTATCAACGGCACCTGTGCAAACTTCCTTCCAATGCGGTCGAAAGCTGATCCGTCAATGCCAGTGTCAGAATTCCTTCGTCAAACCCAGGATGAATTCTGGCAGTACACCGAAAACAGTACAGTCGGTATGGACGAGATCCACGAAGCCTGTGAAACGACTCGCGAGGGATTCTCGAACAAGACACTCTTCCTCTTCCAGCCATTTGAGCCGGCCGCTGCGACAGGGAAGCAGTACCAGAGGTGGGTGGTGATGGCCAAGTCCCAGGTGACGATGCCGCAACCATATGCGGTAGTATTTGAGGTTGTCAAGACAGCGGATGTGAATGAGTATAAGCTCAAGTTTGCCTTTGACAAACGTATCTATGAGAAGGAACAAGTACGGGAGGAGATACAGGTGATTGAGAAGTTGTTGGCGAAGGTGATGGAGAATGCGGAGGCGTCCGTGGGTGATGTTCTGGGATCGTTTCGTTCTTGACTGGTCTAAATGACTGTATATAGAATAAAAGTTAATGGAGTTCTTTTGATTGTGACAAAATACCTTTCTCTTGATTTGATTTCGTACGTTTGGCTTCGTTGACAGAACCAGTAAGAGCGAGTTGTCGATGGAGTGGCTGGGCTGGAGGCGCAGCTAACAAAAATATCCATCTTTTGGTGGGATCAACACAGACACATTAACTATCCAACATCATCACATCGACACTCACAGTTCGTCGAGCTCAGGTCTCAATAACACCAGGTCCACGACAATGGCTCCAAATCTGGAACCGTCCCAGCGAGCGCTCATCCGTGACATGGTCCTCCACCACACACATCTCACCATCAAACAAATGGCCGCGGCCGCCGGTTGTAGCAAACAAGCCATCATATCCATCCGCAACAACTTGCGTAGATACGGCACCATCCATCCTCCTCCAAAAGGCTCAGGAGCCGGACGCCCTCGAACCGTCACTCCAGCCATGCGTGAAGCACTCTGCCAGCGCCTGATCGAGCGACCGCACGCCTCCCATGAAGAACTCCTGGTGTTCCTATGGGACGACTTCCACACTCTCATTTCTCCTTCGTCGGTAAGCCGAGCGTTGATCGATATTGAGTGGACTAGGCAAGCGGGGTTACGAGCCGCAAGGGAACGGAGCGCGCCCTTGCGTCAGGCATACCTGCAGGAACTATCGCGTTTCCATCCGGCGCAGCTCGTCTTCGTTGATGAATCAGGGTGCGACCGTCGGGTGGGATTTCGAAGAACATACTGGTCGCCGTGCGGGTATAGGCCGAAAGCCTTTACGCAGTGGCCTACCGCGAAACGATATCAGATGCTACTTGCTTACGGACAGGATGGGGTTATTTTCAGTCGGGTGTTCACTGCAGCGGAGAGTGAGACGGACGAGATGGTGTTCGAGGCCTTTGTCGAGTCGCTGCTACCGCACTGCGAGGAGTGGCCCGGACCACGGTCCGTACTCGCCATGGACGGTGCAAGCTTTCATCATACGGAACGGGTAATGAAGATGTGCATTGATGCCGGGGTCCGCGTGTTGTGCTTGCCTCCTTGCTCGCCCGATCTGAACCCGGTCGAAGATCTGATGACAGAGGTGAAGGCAGTCGTCCGACGGCGGTGGAGTTCCTACGACCGACCTAAAAACCAAAGGTTTGACGAGTTTCTCGCTTCTTGTCTACGAGAGGCGGACGTCAAGGGGCCCCTGGGAGGTAAATTCCATTTCCTGAATACTGGTCCTCCACAAGAGGAGGGCGTCTCAACGCAACAACGCGCTCGACGGACGACTCTTCAAGAATGCGTTGATGATACATGGACAGAGAATGGTCAACCCATGCGACGTGAGAAAGAGTCAACTACAGAAGACGACTCGAGTGAAATTGACTCGACTTCGTCGGGCAATGAGTTGAATGAAGGAACAACACACGAATCTTCAGGGAACGATCGAACGCAAAGGGGCCGGCGCGAAAGACACAGTCTTTGAGGGTCCATTCGCGGTGGTGATACCGCCCGTTAGAGCATTATTGCAGTAATAATTTGTTATAAATATGTCTGGCACTTCTGTCATCATGCCGTCCCGCCAATTATAGAATTGATGCCCTCCACCTTAGCCTGAGCAACGGCACAAGCCAAGCAACAGTCCCCCTGGTACAACGCCGAGTATCCGGCTTCACAAGAAAGAAACTGCGCCTCCTCACTCCAGTTACTCAATGTCACACCGTACACTGTCTTGTCTCGAGATTTTGGAACCGGCGCATACACCGATGTCGCAATGACATACGCCAGCGGATCGTCAGCTTGCCTCAGAAGAGCAATATCTTCGGCGCTATGGCTGCGAGGGTAGTGAGCACACCCAATCGCGGGAGACAAACCCATGAGTCCGACGTGAAGATCCAGAAAATTCACATCGATGCTCTTGGTCGTGAGATAAATGGTCGAACGGAGTAATAGCACGGGAAATTGTTGCACCACATACGAGCGCAAGGCCATCTGAAAGGAGCGGTGTCTTCCAAGGCCGGCAAGTTTCTTTTTTCTACCAGTATCCCGACCCAGACTGCCCTGGGACACCAGCGAATTCTCTGCTTTGGGTCGTTTGAGCCGTCGCGACGCCCCCTTTTTAGGCTCCGCGCAGATGAGGGCACTGTAGCGGTCGGATCCATAATGCAATCTGCCATCCACGAGGAGGTACTCGACCGTCCACGGGTTCGTCACTCGCGGGTATTGCAGCGTGTTTGGGAAGATTGTGGCCATGTCCGAACTCCGACAGACGACTGGTGGGGTTTCACCATCCTCGTGGCTGAAGATATCTGGGCGGATTACTGTGGGATCCACCAGTCCCATTACCCCCCGGTGAAAGTCGGATGCCCCCGCGCATGTATCCCGATTTTTGAGACTTTTCCAGATGGTATACAGTAGCATCTTGTCCGTGGAGGGCTTGGATAGACGCAAGGCGACATTTTCCTGTGGCCGAACCAAGAGGCAGAGAATACCGTTTTGCACGATGGTGCCAATCTCCGCCCATAATTGCGCCACGCCGCATGTCTTCCAGGCGCGCGTTGAACTAACCTTCAATCGCTGTTGCGGGTAGTTACGCTCATCCCACGGCTCATGCAGCCGACAGAATTGACACGTGCACAAGGTCAAGGGCACACGGAGTTCGACCTCCCTCTGCACGTCCTCGTAGCGGTCATGGGGATCTGCGAACTCAGTCGGTGGCACGAGTAAGGATCCCAAAGTATGAGTAATGATACTACGGTAGTTGGGTCCCATTAGGGTCTTCAGACCCTCTTTGGCGATGCGGTTGTCACCAGAAGAATTAGGCGTGCCACTACTACACCAATGCTTGGCTGTGAACGTCTCTGCGACAGAGGCGATGAGGTTGGCGATGGCCTGTTGTAGGGGCAAGCTCTGCGTCGTTTGAGCGCCACTGTTGCAGAGGGCGATTCCAAGATGACTCGTCAAATAACCCTCCCAGCCGAATTTGAGGTGGTAGTTGCAGCCACAGTCCGATGATTCCGTCTGGATGAAGCGCTTCTGAAAGTCGTTTGAGTGAGAGCTGACTGTAGACTCGAGAAAGAAATGAGTACTACTGTTTTCGTCGCTCTCAACGCAGAACATGACGGACTCTCTTTGTCCTTGCTGAATCACCTCGTTCCCAACCTCCACGCGAGTATCTTCCGGGCACATACTCAAGACCAGGCTCATGAGCACCGCTGCGCTACGAGTCCCACAATATCGGAGAGTCAGATTCTCGTCCTGCAATGCATGATGCAAATAGACGAGGAACTCCTGCATAGTCTCCGCTGTCGGTGTATGTGTCAAATCCAAGGGAACGCTCGAAGTCGTGACCTGGAAACACTGACTCAATCTTTCCGATTGACAGCGAAAAAATTGGCCGAACTCAAGACATGCAAGTTTTCTCTCCAGGGTCTTGGACACATCTGCCAGCTGCTTCACGCTGCAATTGTGCAGTCCCGGCGGAAGAAGCTTGCTACATAGATTTAGTAATATCCCGCCACACTTGTGTTCATCATAAAGATTGCCCAGCACCCAGCACAGCAGTGATGCTGACCGACCGCCCGGACTACGGCTCATATGGCACGCGGTATCGCCATTTTCCCAGCCGATAAAAGCGCCTATTCGATTCAAGCGCGTGGATGACGAGCGTGCTAGAGTGTCGGGCAGTCGCGCCGCGAAGGGCCCGTTTGCGTGAAAGCAGGAGCCCAGTGCTTCGGTTTGTTGAACAGCAAAAGGATTCGTATTATCGGCGGATATTGCCTTGAAGAGAGACTGAAGAGCTGTAGCACTGGAGATCGCGCTCACAGGCAGGTTGGTCAAGTCGACCTGCAGCCCGACCTGCTCCGACATGATTATTGCCGCAGCTTGAATAGGATTCTGACTTGGTTATTGGATGCATTTATGGAGAATTCTTCTTGAACAAGGCTGAAATTGCCAGGCCAGTAGCGCGAGGACCCCTGTATAGTGCTGTCTGACACCGCTAGAGTGGCTGGAGCGAGGGCTGTGCTGTCAGCCTTCTGAAAGTCGATGCATCACTTGCCAGCAGCAGAAAAGACACAATGCCACGTACTTTTGTCCTTAGCCTGTATTTAATGCCAGTATGCTACGCAGGTTGGTGCTGTGGCTTGGGGATGGGGTCCTGCTATGCAAGAGCACCAATGAATGTGAAATATAACACTCAGGCTCTTTATCGGGCTCCATCAGTGATGGATTGTTGCCTACAAGACTGTCAACTGTTCCCTTTCCTTTCCCTCTGGCCAAGATCAGAGTATTACAACTGTGGCCGACTGTGGCCGACAGAATGGCCGCTTCTGAGGCCATAACGCTGTATTTCTATAGTATGTTATTACCACAGGATGTTAAGAAACTCTACTGCTTTTTTCATATACACTTCTTGCTGTATAGAAGCTATATGAGAGCAACTCCATCATGCTGGAAAAGCTATGCTGGCGATAAAACAAGCGGATTAGAAACCCTAAGCTCAATATTCTATACAGGCCGTCATTAGCCCATCAAGCACCCAGGAAAAGGAAAGAAGAAGCTCACCTCACGATACATCCCCTCCATAAGCATCCTCAGAAACGACTTCATAACCACCGTCCCTTCACAAAAATAGTCCAACAACCCCCTCGCTACATCGCCGCCAAACCCCTGCAAGACACTATCCAACTCCTCCATCACGACCCCCCACCCTCCATGCGTCTCCAACCTCAGCGCATACAAAAGACTAGGCACCTGGCACTGGAGCAGCGTGTGGCTGGCCAGGTTCCACACAGAGATCAAGTCATCGGTCAAGGTGAGACTACCGGGGATCTCCCAGTCGAGGGGGAAGCCCTGCTCTCCGAGCGTGGGTTTGTGGAAGTGCACGCCGCCGAAGTCGCGGATGGCGAAGCCTTTTATCTTGCCTGTTGCAGTGCAGAGACGGACGACGGTGTTTTGGGCGTGCGCTTCGAGGCCGATGCCGTGGTGGACGAGCGGGTGGAGCATAGCTCTGAATAGAGCGTGCAGGTAGCTTTTCCCCGCGAGTGACTGTGTTAATATGTTGTCCCCGGTATACTAGACATACGACGTACGACGTACGCAGTAATAGGAAAAGGGTACTTACGTCCGAAACCACTTCTTCCTCGCCTCGATGGTGTCAAGACTAAATAACCTCTCCGGATACGTCTTGCCATCCTCGGGATGCCGCTCCATCAGCGCCGCGGCAACGACCAACGTCTCATTGTCCATCCTGGCTCTTGGCTCGAGATCCTCCCGGAGCACACAGCTTAGATGCTTCGCGGCATGGAAGTCCTCCTGACGCCCCGAAACGGCTGCTATCTCTTTAAACACCCACAGATCCGCCGGGAGGGTCCTCTCGAGTAAATCCGATATCGCGCGTCCCTGCCCCGTTGTCCAGGGTGTTACCGTCCGAACCGCAGAGGTGATTTGACACGCGAGGGCGAGCTTCAGGTGGTAGTTGAACTCTAGTTCCGGGCGCAGGGTTACGGTCCGCAGTGAAGCCTGAGCGTCGGCGATGGAGGATCGCTCTGCGATGACAGTCGCGTTCTCGAAGTGGTGCAGGATGGCGGGGATTTGGCGGGTCAGGCAGGGGACGATCAGGGTATTTTCGTCTGTTGGCTTGGGGATCTCTAGCTTCTGGAGGAGCGGTTCGAGAGTCGTCTCGAATGGACCCGTCACGCGCATATCATTGCGCGGGATTGAAACGAACGAGAGGGATGGGGCGATCATCTCTGGAATGTGTTCTGGGAGGACGGGCTTCAAGGGTGGGATAGCCCAGCATGATCGGTGGAACTGTAGTTGGGTTAGTCTTCCGGCTTAGAAGGGATGTATCGGATAGCAGGGTAGGGTAGGGTAGGGTACCGGATGGGTTTGATGGCCGTATACTATTGAACGCTCCCATGCGATCATTGGGGAATGTAGAGAGAGGAAAGGCCGAGATTTGCTCATTTCCAACCATTTCTCTGGGACTATCAGCTCTGCCTGCTTGTTTATGCTTGGGTGAATGCACTTACCCTGCATCTCAGCTGTGCTCCGCAACTGAGCCGCCATTGTCTCCAGAAAGCTCTCTTCCGCGCTATGTGTAAACCAAGGAAGAATAAAACGGAATATGGCGCCTGGTTCCAATACCTCTGTTCCCGATTCTCCCTTGCCGAGAAGAACGGGTGGTTGCAAGCATTCCGGGCGTAAAGGTGGAAGAACCCGAGTCCCTTCGGTATTGATCGAGGTGTCATGGCGACAGTGGGCTCTAATCCACAACTCCTTGTCCCCATTGGCACTGTGAAAGATCAACTGCTGGTGAATCAGGGTGCAAACTGCGAACCCCTCATTCACGAGCTGGGCTAGGAGACGCTTGGTTGTCTCGAAGCGACTTCGATCTTGCGTCGTAGGGACAGTCATGGTGGGTGGCAGAGAAAGTGGGTATTGGACGATCAATTGAGTATATCCGTGGGGTGCTCATAGCCTAAATACTGTTGATGTGACGATCCCGCCGATTCATTCTGGGCCCCTCAAGGGGCATAATATCCATGGAGAGCCAGGATGGTCGGTGTATTGCCGTGCAGGAACTCTGCATGTATGTGCTGGCAAAGATAAGGTTCAGTGCAATGTCCACTTACAAAGGGCCAAACTTCCACCGCTCATTGTGAGGCTGATTGTAAGTGAGTCGCAGGATAAATTTCAAGACGGTCTTGGCATCATTTTACTCTTTCACAACTACATCCTCTTGTACAATGGCTCCTGCGCTGCCCACTGCCCATACATTCGCCAAATTCAACTATCTCAAGTGGCAGGACATCTATCGCACCACAAGACCCTTCAGTAATGCGTTGGCGCTCAGTTCCTCGGACAAACAGCAAGGGCACAACCTGGTATTCGAGCGGGGTGAAGCGCAGAGAGTCACCGATGCTAGGGGAATCGAGTCCTCATTTGACTTGGATCGGAATGGCTTCATCTACAGAACGCACAAACCGCCCCTGACACCTGAGGAATTCACCGACGCGGAGAAGGTTGAGAAGGTGTATCTTGCGGATTGCGAAAAGGTGCTCCGAGACGAGGTGGACGATGTTACTGAAGTTTTGATGTTTGATTGGCGTGTACGTATCATTGTTACTATAGAGGTCGCATGGAAGACTGCTGATTCTCGCATAGGTTCGACGCAGTGACTCTACCGGGCCAGTCAAGCTCGAAGGCGCAAAGGCAGGAGGTCTGCAGTTGCCCGCGGCGGACTTTGTTCATAATGGTACACTTCTCTTCCCTTCCTCTTCTTCTACTAACAAGCCACACAGACCAAACGGAGGTTTCAGCCATCAGACGGACTCGAGCATCTTTCCCCCCAGAATACGCTGAGCGTCTACTCGCCGGTCGAGTTCAGATGTTAAAGTCAGTCTCCCCCTCTAGAATAGCTAGGTATGAGTCTAAACCCATCAGTCTATGGCGCCCGATAAACAGCCCGGTCGAGAACCACCCACTAGCCGTCTGCGATGGAAGCAGTTACGATCCATCCAAGCTCTTGGAAGCAGACATTATTCGGGAGAAGTATACCGGGCATATGATGTATGCTTTGTATGATCCGGGGATGGCATGGTACTATAAGAGTCGGCAACGGGATGATGAGATTGTTATATTCAAGAGCTATGATTCCAAGGATGGGGTGGCGAAATGTATTTGGCCTTCGTAGCGGTGGGGGACTTTTACTGACATATCTAATTCTCTAGATGTCCCACATTCAGCCTTCGCCCTTCCGGATAAAGAGCCTGGGGATTATGTGAGGATGAGTATCGAGGTTAGGGCTATGGTGTTTTCGGACACGGCGTCTTGAGGTAGTCGTGCTCTTTTGAATATGACAACTCAATCTGCGAATGTTAGGGATGCTGTATTAGTTGTTGAGGCACCTGCGGAGTAGTATGCCTAGTCAAATCCTGGAGATGTGCTTCCTGAGGATCTGAAGCATTATACACCCCTATCCTGATCATAATAGTTACAAAGCCGCGACAGCCAGAGCAGCAGCAGCCATAGCCCCAACCACATTCAACTCGAGCATCCCCGCACCATTTCCAGTCCCAGTAGCACCAGCAGAACTGCTCGTCGTCGAAGCCACACTAGACGAGTTTCCCGCCTTGGCACTCGTCTTTATCGTCGCCGTAGCACTGGCAGTCATACTCGGCGCAGAGGTAATCACGAGACTAGTCGCACTCGCCGCGCTCGACGTTGCGGTCGTCGCATCCCCCGTAGTCGACGCACTCGCCGTCGCAGCAAGCGTATGCGTAGACGCAGCCGCACCGGGCCCGTACCCGGGGAGATAGCTCGGCTCGTAGGTCGCGGTGCCAGTGTACTGGCCGGGACAGGCGGGATTGTCATGCTTGGGCGGGGCGCGACCGCCGCCGCAGTCGGGGATGTCGCAGATTTCGCCTGTGCCGGGGACGTACCAGATCATGCTGGCTTCGTTCCATTGGTTATGGGTTTTGGAGGAGATGCAGCCCTCCAGGTCGGTGCGGGCGTAGACGGTGGAGGCGAGGGTTGTCGCGAGAAGGAGTGGAAGGAATTTCATTTTGCTGGATGGGTTAGTAGTGTTGACTGAAGATTGATGCGAAGGAGTAGTACATTAACGAGTGACTATTTCAAACGAGCGACTGAATTGTTGAAAGGACAGGAGTGAGTGGCCTCAGGAGTGGAAGTTGAGGTGGTGTTGACGGGACATGGGAATGGCTAGCATTATATGAATGGCTTTAGGCAATCTAGACCTGGCCTATTGAAAACTGAGTTCAGGCCTAACGAGCTTAGACTAAGCGACGGACGACTGGAGATGAGGTGAAGCTACGGAATAGGTCATGCAATTGATCCAATTGTCAGCTGGGAGGCAGTTTAAGTCGAACTGGTCTTGACACAGCATCAATCATGAATCATACAGCATCTTCCGTCTCAAGACTCTTATCTAATTTTTGAAATCTCATACAAGAAGAAGCATGCATTCAGCGAGGACCGGCAATTCGGTCTTGGAATCTCCGTCTGTGGGTCAGGGCTTCTTCCGAAATTGCAATCCTGCTAATTTTAGATCGGCCATTCAGCCTCAGGCTTGGAATGGAGCTCAGGGACCTGTTGACATGACCAGTGTGCCGCTTTCACATCGAGAATATACAATATTGTAATGCGGTATATTGTTTGCTCGCAGATTTGGGCTGCTGCGGCTCTGATGAGTGACCGTCTTAGTTGCAGCATAGAAGAGAAAAAAAAAAGGTTTACCCTAAATGTGTGGTGAGGAAGACAACAGAAAGAAAGGGGTAAAAAAGGTATTTATGGTTAGTGTGTCCCCTAGTGTTCCTTCGCGTGGAGGCCAGCCGGGGAAAAATAGATGAAGAGAAAAAATGAAATCTCCCCGACAGGGAGTCGAACCCTGGTCTCCCGCGCTCGTTCTCATATGAGTGACAAGCGGAAATCATGACCGTTAGACCATCGAGGATTTGTTGTTGCAAAATCTGACAGTTTGAATATATAGAGAATTGCGAATAATGAAAAAGAATTATTAAATGCGGCTACCTGACCTCCATCAACACCTACCACTGGGTTGATTCAAGGAATATATTGTTTGTTCCGACTGTCGTATTTTATCATGGACATGTTGTTCCCATGATTAAGTTTGTTTGACTCACTGTGCTGCTCACATGCCACATCTGATTTGATCTTATGATTATATGTCTTGCTCTGCGGGTAAACTTCGGCTTTGACACATTTGGCTGCATGATGCATCAATACCTTCATTCCATTACTGGTAGATATTATCGTGGCATTGCAGCAATGCTCCTTTATGCCATGTCTACCTCTGGTATGTGTCTCCGGAATTTAGGGCCGACTTCCCAGCCATGAAAGGATAGCTTCATGTGTTCGTATTCTGGCACCCATCAGAAGGAGTCCTATTGGTGCATGTATCCTACTTCTCGCTGTAGTCTAAACCGACGAATACAGCACAGATGAGAAGTGGTCACCAGACGAGCTTATATCGAATCTATACAAACAATGACGATGACATTGGTATATAAATCTCGACAATCCAGCGCAACTACTTCCTCAGTACCCCGAAATCAGACCTCCATTTCACCATTACAATGATCCCCAAAACCGAGAAAGACAACGAGATCATCGAAAAGGCTAAAAGCCTTCAAGGTATCTGCTGGGGCGAGGAATATGAGAAAATGATATCGGGAATACTGTAAGAGCATCACGCAATCACCGAACCACTGCTAAGACTCTGTCCAGATACAGTCCCCTCGCATCAGAGCTCATAGAGGGTCGCACCAAAGCGCGCTTCCTGATGTCGGAGTTTAATGCTCCTCTTCAACCCGACATGCCGTTCTCTAAGACCGTCGCGCAGAGGGAGGAGACATTACGAAAGTTGTTTGGCCGGGCAGGAAGAGGGGTCTATATCGAGCCTCCTCTCTTTGTGGACTATGGCTGCAACATCAGCGTTGGGGATGGTTTCTATGCGAACTTCAAGTAAGTATGCACCCAGCAAATGATACTGGATGAAGCTGATAGGACAGTCTGACCGTCCTGGACTGCGGACTGGTCACCGTTGGAAACAACGTGGAGATTGGCCCGAATGTAAACATCATCACGGGCGAGCATGAGACCAAGATTGAAGCACGGCGCACACATCGAGGAATGTAATTTACAAGAGAAGTCATTATCGGGGATGATTGCTGGATTGGAGCGAATGTGACTATTTTAGCTGGGGTGACCATTGGATCAGGGTGCTCCATCGGTGCTGGCTCGGTGGTCAAGAGAGATGTCCCGCCGTACAGTATCGCCGTGGGAAGTCCTGCTCGAGTTATTAGGTCGGCGGTCTGAAAGCTGCGCTATGAATATTCTGCAGACTTCTATTCTGTCTAATCTGATATTACTGAAGCTGAAAATCTCATTCCCAAAACCATGTCCCGTCACGAAAATGCCAACGCATCGTCTCAGTTGTCGTCACTTGCACTTGGCATGTCTTTAATGTCTTGTATTCTGCTTATTTTAAACATTTTAACACTGATAGCTAATCCCTCGCTAACGTGGAAAGATATCCCAGTACTTTGTCAACCAGAAACTTCCGAGGCTCAGCCTGATCATCATTACTCAACGCATGAGACGCATTCGGTATTATAGCACTGTTTTCGTCCCATATCCCGGCTTCCCCATTATAATCCGTGGCCTTCCTCCATCTCGACAGTAATGCCTCCTTGTCAACCCAGGCAGGAACCGACTGGTCCGCCCCAGAAAACAACACCATCAGTTTCCCCCTCAGCAGCCCCTGCTCCCTGATCTTCCCGAACGTCTTCCCCAACTGCTCATCGCTCAGATCCGAACTGAACAGATCATCCTCACTCGGCGCCAGCGGACTCTCAGGACTAGTCAGACTCAGAAACCGCCGCGCACTCAGCGGCGTGTTGGCCGGGTACACCAACGAGGTCATCGCCAGCGGCAGCAGAACATCGGTGCCAGCCTCCGCGTCGCGAGCAGCCTCCCTCGCCATCGCCGTCAGCTTCTCAAACACAGGCCGGATCTCCGCCGGCGTCTTATCTCCCAGCCCCTCGGCAAGGACCCACTGGATCGCTTCCCGGTCCGACACAGGCGCCTGCATGATTGCCCCGTCGAGCGGCATCCGCTGTATATGCTCGAGGGAGGGGTCGAAGGCGGGAGTGCGCGTGTGCGGATTCGGTCGGGAGAGGTAGTGCAGCACGCACTGGCTGCCTGTTGAATGGCCCATGAGGACGATCTTGCCGCCGCCGCTGCCACCGCTACCAAATCGCTCGGTCTTGTACTCCTTAATGTAGTTCAGGCACTGCGCGATCTCGTTGGTGTCGCGGTCGAGGTGTCCCAGCCCCCAGGATTGATAGGAGGTGGTAAGGTTTAGGGTGAAGAGGGACCATTCGGTTGGTTGGAGGGCGCGGGCCAGATCGGCCATGTAGGATGTGGTCGCCAGGCCATCTCCGAGACCGCCGACGAAGAGGAGGCTGTGTGGTTTGCGGACGGTGTTTGTGGTGTATTCGAAGGTGACGAGGGTTTCTGTCTGGATTGCAGGTGTGTTAGTCCGACTGTTGTGCTTGCGGGAGAGGAACATACGTAGTGGTGTAGAATGCCAGGCAGACCGCCCTTGGGCCAGAATTTTGAGTACATCTTGAAGGTGTATTGAGTAGCAATTGGCGTCAGATAGGGATGGAAGCTGGATTGACAGAAAAGGCTGTGCCTCGTAGTTGACGGCAAAGTTGTATTCAGCAATGCATCGGTGTTATGCCCCTCGTCCAATCTGATAAATGTCCGAGATCGGCATTGCAGGTCCCCAGTGTCTCATCTGTTGCAGTCTCTGGAAGTGGAACTGAGCCATTATCAATCTAACATACAATACACAGTGGGACTTTTCATATAGGTATCATACTAATACATGTTGTAAGATACATGTCTAATACCTCCCATATTGGTCATAAAAGACATACTGAGTGGAGTTAGTTAGGAAGCAGTTACGTACTCCAGACTCGCTAACAGGGGACAGGACTAGATCTGATTAGATTTCTTGGCACAAGACTAAGCGGATCTGATTAGATGTTATTTGGCTAGAGTCCACTGATTGATAACAGTTCATCATGCCACTGGATTACTAGCCCATACCTCACAGTATCTTCTAATACGGTGAAATACATCTGTATAGCCCGAATATCGTATAACTGTATCCTACAGCATCCACTCCCACGCATATCCTTGTCCGTTGTACTCCAACCAGTGCAAGTCTCTCTGTATTGGATGAGACCCATACTGTCGTCTTGTCTAGTAACCGCCGGTCAACGTCCTCTGCCGCGTATCGGCACTGCAGGAGTCCACGCCATGTTCAGCTAACCTCTGCGCCTAAGTGTCCCACCGGTGAGCGTAGCCTGAATGCATCCAAGCATGGTCATTTGCGTTGCTTGGCAGTGTGCCAATTCGGGGGGAAACTAAGTTGAAAAGCATGAGGGAGACGCTCGGCCCATGCCGATCTTGTGGCTTTCGTATCAATCTATAACTTCTTCTCCGTCTTCTTTCTCCTACAGTGTGGTAGACAGCACATTGTTCGATCATTTCACAAAATGCTGTCGTCGTGGCAGAAGAAGTTCTTCCAGTCTCCGGAGAACCCCCCAGCTGAGGGTATTGCCTCTCCTAGGGATGATGGAGTGCCGAACCCACAGACAGTCACATATCCGGATACCAAGCACCCTTCTGAAGTCGTCAATCATGATGCAAGGGAAATGCTGCCAAATGAGGAGGCCCAAGATGGCGTCACTCAGGCTGAAGCGATTACCCTGACATGGTCCAAGACATCTCTGGGAGCCGCCTATGTCCTGTGAGCCAAACAAAATCTATGTCTTGAGCATAACACTGACATACGTCAAACAACAGCATGTGGCTCCTGTACCTTGTCAATGGCCTCCAGTCCTCCATTACCAGCAATCTCTCCGCCTACGTGACCAGCGGTTTTGAATCCCACTCTTTGATCCCCGTTATCTCCATCGTCTCCAGCGTGATGTCGGCGGCAACCTATATGCCGCTGGCAAAAGTCTTGAATCTCTGGGATAGATCTATTGGTTTCGTAATAATGGTGGCATTCGCCACACTGGGATTGATCTTGTCTGCGACATGTCACGACATTGGAACCTACTGCGCCGCACAGGTAGGTCCGCCTGCTCTTCTCACTAGGCACAGGCTGACAGCTCCAAAGGTGTTCTACAGCATCGGCTTCGCCGGTATCATTTTCAGTGTCGATGTCATTACAGCCGATACATCGACATTGCGCGACCGAGGTCTCGCCTACGCCTTTACCTCCTCTCCCTATATCATCACTGCGTTCGGTGGCCCTGCTGCTGCGGAGCACTTTTACGATTCCAACTGGCGATGGGCATATGGCTGTTTCTCTATCGTTTTGCCCGTCGTTGCCCTGCCCATGTTTTGCCTGTTGCGCTGGAACCGGCACAAGGCAAAGAAGAGCGGGCTTTTGAAAGTCAAGCCCGGCAGTGGCAGAACGTGGATGGAGAGTATCAGGCACTATGTTATTGAATTTGACAGTAAGTCTTTTTAGGACATTCTGAGATTGCATACTAACGTTGCTAGTACTCGGTGTCTTCTTCCTAGCAGCCGGCCTTGTGCTTTCCCTCCTGCCGTTTTCCATTGCCGGCTCCACCGAGGATGACTGGAAGTCGGCCTCCATCATCACCATGCTCGTGTTCGGTCTCCTCTGCCTCCTTGTCTTCGCTCTAGTCGAACGCTTTGTTGCACCTGTCCCCTTTCTCCCCTGGGCCCTTCTGGCCTCAAGGACAGTCCTCGGTGCCTGCATGGTGGACGTCTGCTACCAGATTGCATACTACTGCTGGTTCAACTACTACACGTCATACCTGCAGGTCGTCTACGGCACCAGCATCACAACCGCAGGATACATCAGCAGCATCTTCGACGTCGTCTCAGGAGTCTGGCTGTTCGTCGTGGGTTTCCTAATCAAGAAAACGAACCGCTTCCGCTGGCTGCTCTTCATCGCCGTCCCGCTCTACATCCTCGGCGTCGGCCTGATGATCTACTTCCGCAGACCCAGCTGGTCCGTCGGGTACATGATAATGTGCCAGATCTTCATCGCTTTCGCGGGCGGCACCATGATCATCTGCCAGCAGGTCGCTGTGCTCGCGACGTCGGACCACGACCATGCTGCTTCCTCACTTGCCTTCCTGAACGTATTTGGCACGATGGGCAGCGCCGTGGGGAGTAGTATCTCCGGTGCGATCTGGACGCACACCCTGCCTGGTGCGTTGCAGCGTCTGCTTCCCGAGTCGGCGAAGGCGGATTGGGAGACGATCTACGATTCTCTGGATGTGCAGCTCAGCTATGAGAGGGGTACGCCGGTCCGCCAGGCCATTGCGCTTGCTTATACTAGTACGCAGAGCAAGATGTTGATTGCGGGAACGGCTATCATGGCGCTTTCGCTCATTTGGATGTTTGTTATCCGGGATATCAAGCTTACCAAGACGCAAACCAAGGGAGTGTTGTTTTAGTTTGAGGCTTGTTGCTGCCTGATATCGGCAACTTTGAGTGGAGGACTTGACCATGTCCGTTACGATTGTTAATGATGTAGGATATTATGGGCAGCCTTTCACCCTGAAGATGGATACAAGTGGTTGTGAGATGAGGCTAATGGAAAGACACTGAAGCGTATGGAGGAATATAATTTAATGTTTTATCAGGGTTGCACAGCCAAATTCTTTTGCTTTGAAGAGCTGTCCTTCTATAGAGTAAATAACCCCTTGAGAAGCTATCGACACAGAGCAGGGAGCAACTTCAGCTTGAAATGGAATATCTTCAATGAGCACATTCCTCGCATGCACAATGCCACGATACAATTATAAAGGCCCCTGGGCCCTGACACTATGTGAGTTCCTAAGGACATCATTTTCTTCCTAACAATAGTTCATGATTGTGTGATGAAAATTCTGTCGCCTCCAGCTGGAATCCTTGTCATTTCCCTTGGCATCTTGGCAGCGTTATCTGATCAAAAGTACACTTTCTAGTCTTGATTTGGGTGTTAAGGACTCTCGTTATACTAAAAGCTCAGAAATCCAACATTCAGTGGGTACCAATAGATTTCAAGGAAATACAAGCTGACAGAGATCCACCCATACCATACGCCGTATTTCATTGTGGATCATGTTACAAGCGTTGGATACCTGTTTTGATCTGATAAAGACAATGACTTGGCAGTGGGACTAGCTAATGGACAATTTCACAGTGGACTCGGTGAGCAAAATCTTCTCTTTGTCTGACCCCATCCGGATGATGACTCTGCCGTGAGCTCATCTTATCAATCGGTTCTTGCGTCAACCGCACCTCGTCCGACTTTGCTTCCTTAGCGACTAATTTGTAGTCCTAGTCCCCGTGACTGCTCAGGATTCGCCGTAGTATTTGCATGCATGTTGATTATGGTGGACTTATGCCTGCTTAGCCAGAGCCCAGATTTGTTACGGCGACTGGAGAAGCAACGATACTATGTCACCGTCCTGTTCTTCTCTTCGTCGACACCTCGCTTGGTGACTCTGTTTACTGCTCATATCCTAGGACTCGCGATTTTCACAAGCGGTTTTCGGGGTTTGTGAAGAGGAAATCGATGTTTTGATTCTCTTACTAAGGCTTGATACATTCCTATAAGCCGCAATCAATAGGACGATCCTGAAGCCAGGTATCATTAAAGGTTAAAAGTCATTGGGAGGAAGTCGACTCCGAAGCAGCTTGCTACTACAAGAAGAGAAAGAAATTGTCCATAAAGTCTTTGCTGCTGTCTTCTGTCCTCCTAGTCACCCGACATGTCCCTCAAATGGAAGGCTCCCAAGCTACGCGCCCATCCTCCAGAATCGTCACCTGTCCCGTCCATTCCTCTCTTTTCCGCGCGAATAAATTCCAAGCCTGCTCAGCAACGTTCCTTGCATTCAGCGCTGGTGCTGATGGAGACACCACCCCGCCCACCACCACCAAGCCAACCTGCACACCCTGGGGAGCGAATACTTTGGCCAAAGACTTGACCAGATTAGCCTGAGCGGCCTTTACCATAGACAGTGCGAAGAGCTCCGGAATGGGATCGACAGGGAGCCAGCTACTCGTGACGAGGAAGGATGGTCGGCAGTCCGTTCCAGTGGCTGCTTTCGCACGCAGAAGCGGCATCGCCCATTTCGCTACCGCATAGAGAGCGAGATTAGATACCTGCCACGAGTCAGTATTGCCCTTCCCTATGCAAGAAAGTTGAAGATACTTTGAAATCCTCCTCAAGACCCGAGATCGGAAACTCAAGTAAGGGGCTGGGCGCTACCCGCGCAGCGTTGAAATACACGCATTCCAAGTCCCCGAACTGGGCGACCTCGGCGAGTGCCTCTTCCAGACGGCGCAGATCGCCAATATCAACTTGCCAAGTCTGCACGGTGACAACGCGGTTGACGCTCGCTGCGGAAGCGAGTACGGTCTCTCGGTCTTTCTCCAGCTGGACGGGGTTTCGCGCGAAGAGAGCAACGTTATTGAAGTACCGCTGGGCAAAGAGGGATGCAACCGCGACACCAATACCGGGGCCGCAGCCGATGAGGAGAAGGGTTCTATTTGCCATTGTGAGGATGTGAGAAAGCAATCTGATGATGTGAAGATATCGAAGGGGAATGAGATCTACTTAATGTGTGGCATTTATTATCTCTTGGGGTGAAGGTGGCTTGCATAATAATGCTAGCGGCTGCTGCTGGCATATCTGGTCAATTCGTAGAATGTTTGCATCTATTTGATTGTTTCTGTAGGCCTGTGACAGCAATCAGGAATAAAAGTCAAACAAATGTCTGGACCAATTAAATTCCAGAGTTCTGCAAATGAATTGCAGCTTAATTTTTGAATATTAGAGCCTGCATTCTCACTGGATGTAGAAGCACTGCTTTATTAATATTCATGTCAGCACTAGCGGCCGACCCCGCTAGTCTCTATGATTGACAGGTGGATCGAGATGAAGGCAACGTGAGGCAGGAATGCACAAGGGAGGTTTCAAGTCTTACACATTTGTCATTCTAATCCTGCTGTTATCATGGTCTTTCAAGTCTCTTCAATAGCTGAACAATAAATGGCTGATTCGCATCCTACGGGGGAAGCAAAACAGGTACTATACAAGATAAAGCTGTATGATTTCATGTCAATATATTCCATAAATGTCAGTGCCATTTGTATTAATGGTTTACTTCACTTTCTCCTGCGTACAAGGTCACATATCAATCCCTCCTGCTGCACAAACCATACATTCTTTGTCTTCCACTCCTTCTCTGGGCTGTGCAGTCGAATCTCAAACTCCCGCAACAGCTGCGGGATAATCTTATGCATCTCAATAAGCGAGATGTTCTTGCCAATGCAAGTCCGGGACCCCGCACCAAACGCAAAGAAACCCTGTTCCATCTTTTTCAACAGCTGTGGGTCGCTGTCGATCCACCGCTCGGGAATGAACTTGTTAGGGTCCGGGAAGACCCGAGCATCCCTGTGGAGAACCCATGCATTGATGCCTACCACGGTTCCACCGGGGATATGCCTGTCACAGATGGTGATGCCGCCTTTGGGCACCTCACGCTCGAGGATCAACCCGACGGATGGATGTAGTCGCATTGCCTCCTTGAGAACTGCCTGCAGATAAGGCAGGTGGTTCATGGATTCTCGGTAGGAAATCGGGTTGCTTAGTTTTCCCTCTTGGTCGGCATTGTCGATCTCAGCGTTTAGCTTCGCCATGGCCGACGGATTGCGAAGGAGGAGGTAGAAGACGGCTCGTAGAGCAATGGCAGTGGTGTCTGAACCAGCAACACATTTGTCGAAAGATGGACAATGACGTCCCGGGTGGAAAGCTTCTCCGGATCAGACACGTGGATGGCCATCCACCTGGACAGCATGTCCTTCCCTACTTCCGGTTTCTCCCCGGAATCGAGCTCACCGTCTCGCTGCAGCGATGCTCGCGAATTGATGGCCTTGAGCGTGAAATTCAAGACCTGATTCCATGTCTCCATGCTGGGCATGAACAGCGGGAAAAGCGGATTTCCCAGTAGCAGCGGGTGAGCCTCGGGGATCTGGCCACACACGCTAGCATAAACGAGCATTCCCTGAATCGCTTCAATCATGCCGTCGACGTCCTTTCCCTCCTGCAGAAAGCCGAGTTTCTTGGCAAAGGTGAATTCCCCGACCACGTCAAAGGCGTAGTATTGCAGCCACATTCCCAGGTCGACTGGTCTTTTGCTATTCGCAAATCTCGCCAGCTGATTGACGAATATCTCGGTGCAGGAGTCCACTGCGGATTCGAGCTCGAGCAGCGAAGTCATACTGTAGGCGTTTGCCACTGGCCGCTTCTGCTCACGATGGAACATCTCGTCGCGCGTGGAGAAGAGGTTCATCTGCGGCTTTTTGTCCCATGATATGCACTGGATGGGATAGAATCCAGTCTGCTAGCGTCAGCCATTATTATTCCGATTTTCCGACTACCCTCTAACCTTTGTGAACCCCTTGTTGAGACCGTAGATGATCGGAATAGCACTAGGATCTCCAACAGATATGTGCTTCGGACCAATGCGGACCAGCGGTCCATGCTTGCGATGCAGGTCAATGGCTGTATTGTGGTGATCGCCTTTCCACACACTTTGTAACTTCCAGAGACGAGTCCATTTGGCGATTGCAGGGCCGGGAATGCCTGCAAGTCCCCTACGAAAGCGATTGGTGATTAGACGAAGAATCACCACGGCAATTACGAGGTATGCGGCGTGTGCCTTGAGTGACGATAGCGCTAAAACTTCCATGCTGACCGTGACGGATGTTTTCAGCTGGATGAGTGTGCGGTAATCATTGCAAAGCGATCCTTTGCGTCTTATATGCGTGAAGATAGTAGCACAGATATCGGCTCACGTCCCTCGCATCCGATGCGGAGAGCCGATCGGAAGTGCCTCGGGTGCGACTTGCTCAGAAGGTAATTAGACTCTCTGAGCACTGAGAATGGTGTACGATTGCATGTCTTCCGAGGGAGGCGAGATCCCCCTTGCGGGAAACGCGGAGGCGGGGAAGATCTACGGCCTTGCGCGGGGAACAAAGGGCATCGATGCAAGCACGGCCAATGAGAGGCGGATTGAAGCCCCAGAAACAAGTCAACAATTAAACTCTAACTTAATTTACCGGGGAGGAAATCTTACTGTCAATTTTCACAGACATTGATATCCATCCGACCGACGAGGCAGTCATCGCTTCCGAATCTTGCAGATCATGTGGATGATCTGGAGTAGTGGATGGCTGTTAGGCTTTAGAATGTGATGTCCGATCTGAGTAGGGAGTGCTCGGTGGAAGGTACGTTTATCGGGGTTTCCCACTGCACCACAGTTACTGGCCGCTTCTGCAATCCGGATATGCGGGGAAGCTAACTGGGTCGGAGACCTGATGGTCATCGCGCAGAGTTGACGAGCGAGGATAATCGGTGAGGCCCTATCCTACTGCAATCTGCTGAAGGGTATGCTCCAGCCTCAGGGTATGCGCAATCGCAACCACTCAAAGATTGGATTGCACTTCCTGATTTTGATTTAGCGAGGGATAGGAACGATGCTGGCTGCTATAAATCATTGTTAAGGAATCATCATATCATGAAGAATGGAAGAATGAAGCTCATGGTATAGCTATTCTATCTAAGTGAGAGAAAGGGAAGGACAGGCGTTTGCCCTAGCTAAAAGCCCTACAGATCATCATTGGCTAGGTCTTTGGTAGGACACTCGAAAAAGGTTGCGCCCGCAGAGATCGCCGTCACCCTGGTTGGTCGCATATATCTGAGTATCAATAGGAGTGACGATAATCCGAGGACTCCCCATCCTTCAAATCCACATAGCTCATGAAGATGCTGATAAGTAAACTGCATTCCCCCACTCATGCTGCATACGACTGGGCCTGTAGCCTGCCTATGCAGAGTGTAGATCACTAATGAACACTTAAAGTGAGCATGCTGGGTATAGAAGGGTTCAAATGTCAATTAAGGATATCAATATATGCAAATGGATGCTAAGTCACTTCAACCAATGATTCTAAACGCCAAGGTGGCCTCGTGGATATGGCAAGGATGTAAGTGAATGTCATTATTGAGGATTATGGCAAAGAGAAAACTGGACAAAAGGACTATATAATATAATACATACCTTCCTAAACTTCTTCCTTTGCATATCCATTACACTTGGACCTGACAAATGAGTATACTCTTCGGTCTAATATTCTTCTTATAGTGGCCTCTCTTGATAGATCCTTTTCTTTTGATGCAGATTAGAAAGCAAACTTCAAGGTGCTATTCAAAATTTTCCCAACTACATGCTTTATAGCTTCCTTTTCCCCCTAAGCTAATTGGAATATTACCATGTGCTTATTATTTAACTTATATGATTGAGGTCTCTTAATGCATAGGACTGATCGGGCTCGGCTATGCTGCATTTCTGACATTCGGGCTGTTTCTAAGATGTTTTCAGCCCAGAAGAAAGTGTAAGATGTCATAGGAAAGACATATAACTTAAAGCCTACCCTACCTACCATAAGCAGCATCACAAGGACGTCAGAAGCATGCCTACTTTATGTGGCCATACTCAGTATGGCAGAGATCTGATCATGTGATCTTGCTCAGTAGATAGCTCCTTCCACTGTATAATAGTAAATATAGATTTATATACATAATAATTAATAAAATATCTTTATATTCTGAACCTCTCTCTGCTTATTCTATAGGTTATAAGCCTGGAGCCTCTTAGAGAGCTCTAGGGAATTATTCCTAAGTTCTTTCCTTAAGCTATTTTACTACTTTTTACTTTTAAAAGCCTCTTTTAGTAGATATTCTATCTAAAATATTTATCTAGGCTGGATATTCTACCTAAGACAGAAACTATCCTTTTATTACCTTTATTAATAGGGCCCTATAAAAGATTCTTATATTTAAGAATCCTTATAGGTATAGAAGCCTAGTAGTTACTCTTAGATATATCTAAAATCTTATTCTCTTAAGGGATATATCTAAAACCTTATTTCTTTATTAAAATCTCTATTTAAGATGCCTTAAGTAGATCTCTATAAGCTATTATTACTTATAGATATAGATACCTTCTAAACCTAGTCTAAAGCTATTAAGACTTACCTATATAATTAGGGGGTATAGTATATAGTAAATAGCTTATATATAAAGTTATAGCTACTACTAATCTAGCCTAAGGTAAGTATATTAGAAGATATAAGATAATATAAGAAGATTAAGAAGGTAATTCTAGATTAGAAAGAGACTAATAATAAGGTATATAGAGTTATTTATTCTACTATATTTTATACTATTAGATATAAAGTAATTAATTTAGAATTATCTAAAGCTATTTAGGACTATCTTAATAATAAATATAATATAATAGTAGATATATAGTCCTTTAAGAGGCTGTAAATAGCTATTAATATAATATATAATAGCTATAATAGAGTCTAAGATTATATATTAAAACTATCTTAAGTATTTAATAAATTTAATTATAGCCTTAAGGAAGGTAAGTAGCTTCCTAAATTTATTAAGATCTAATTCTTACTTTATAATCTTAGTAAGATATAGGAGATATTTCTTATATCTTATCTTAATAGTTACTATAATAAGAGGACTACTATATTTAATAGTATTATATAGATTCTTATTTAGGAGGAGATATATATAAAGTTTAATATATTATTTATAAATATTATAAAAGTATAGAAAGGGAAGAAGCTGGCTTAGAAGAATAGTAATTCTAAGGATAAATTAAACTAATTAAATTAGTCTAATTCTAATTCTAATTTAAATAACTAGAAAGATTCTAACAGCAAGGTTCCTTAGGAAACTAGGAAGAACTAGAAATATTATTATTATAGTAAAATAGGCTATAAGAAGCCTGACTGCTAGGAATTAAATCTAGATAAGAAGTCTAATAGGAAGAATTTATCTAATTAATTAAATTAAACTAATTATTATAATTATGCTCATGCAATAGGCACTAATAATAAGATACTAAATAGCTAATAATTAACTACTTTAATACTTAAAGAAATAATACTTACCTTCTATACTATTAATAATAATAAAGATAATAGAATCCTTACCCCTAATAATAATAATTTAATTAATAACAATGGCATCCTTACCTCTTAATTAGTTAAATAAGATATCAAAGATATATAGATAGTAGTTATTACTATTAATCTAGCTCTGTACCTGCACACTAGCACTAGTAATTAGATAATTAATTCTAGAGCTACTAAATACTTTATTATAACACCTGTAAACTTTATAGATAGCTTAAGGAAGCTATGTAAATAGGGAATTAAGATAGTAATAGGGTAAATTATATATTCTAACTTAATTAGGGATATTATCTTATATCTTATATATCTAGGTGGATATACTAGATATATTATTATTACTAATATTCTCTATATCCCTGAGGTAGCAGTTAACCTTTTAGGCATTATTAGATTAGGCTATAAGAGTCTAGGAGTTAATCTTCTACTAGATAGTATTATTATTACTTACCTATTAGATAAAATAATTATTAGATATAGAGATATTATCTAGAATACCTATATTCTTTACTTTATAGGAAGCAACACTGTGATTAAGGCTAATAAGCTAGTTAAACTAACTAAGCTAGATATACTATTTAAGATATAGCTAATAGTATTCCCTTACTACYCTAAGAGAGGTRATAATTAACTATTCTCTTAGTAAGATTATATGCTATAAGAAGATTATAAGTAAGCTAAGTAAGAATTAGTAAAACCTTATTTTAATATTAAAACTTATATCTAGACTAAATAAGAGGTCCTAAGTAAGTAATATATACTTATTTTAGATCTACTATATAATAATTATACTAGCATTTATATATTAAAGAAAGATAAGATTAATTTAATAACTTAGTACTATTATTTTATATATTTATTAATTCCTAATATCATCTGTGTGTCTAAAATAGTTAATAGAATGGATATTAAGGGACTGTTAATTCCCAAGCATACCTATAAATCTTGCATAGTAGCTAATATAATAGTCTATAAGGGGTATATTACTATATCTCCTATTAAGTAATATAGGGAGTGCATCTTTATTAATATTAGTAGTAGTTATAATAATATACTAGATGACTATATTACTGGAGCTTACTACTGTATAAGGGATATCACATAGCACTCCAAAGAGTAGGTCAAGCTTTATTATAATTAGGAGTCATGAGCTAGGTTGTGTCTAGGTTAGATATAAGTTTAACTAGATAGAAGAGATATTATAATAGAAAGTAATTTATTTATTTCTAAAATAGTAGTTATAATTTTTACTTAAAAATAATATAGTTAGAAGAAGATCCCTCTACCTTTAGTAATAATATTATTATTATCCTAGTTATCTACCTTAAGGGTTAAGCCCTAAAATAAGTATAAGTAATTAGCTAGAACTAATATTATATTTCTCTACTATATTACCTCCCTCTCTTACTACCTTATCATCCTTAATAGATCTCCTAAATTAAGGAGTTCTATCTTTATTATAAGACTTAGTATTATCTTTATTATCTCTATTATTATCTTCTTTTCTATTATTATCCCTATTATTATCTCCTTTTCTACTATTATTAGCTATACTAGTAATATTATCTTTATCTTCCTTATTATTATTAAGATCTATATTACCAGCACCCCTAGTAAGGTCTAGTAAAGGAATATTATTATTTCTTTTATCTAAGATAGATATAAGTTTATTTACTAGAGTCTTAGATATAATTAT